TTTGTTGTCACTAATTGCGTGCTGGCTGTCCTCTCCGGTTAACGCTCGCGAGTCTCTGTGTTTGGCATTAACATGGGTCTCCAGCAGCTCTCTGCTACCACGGTGTTTGTTCTGGTGCAGCCCCCAGTCCTGAGGTTATCGACCTCGTTTGGTTTCACGAGCGCAGCCCTGAGTGTCCAACCAGCCTGCGATTGCCCGCTTAGTGCACTAGTGTGTGACACGGCCCCGCAGGACATCACAGTCCCCTGGGCCAGGTGGCACCTGGACGTGCTGCTCCAGTCTCCTGGTCCAGGAGCAGAGGAGAAGCCAGCCTGGCTGACAGCTCCTCACCCCAGTGAATAGACATGAGGACACTTCACGTCCTGCTCTGCAACCCGTGGCCAAAGGGGAAAGGTCCCCTCCCTCCTATTTTCATGTCTGTTTGATGTGAACCCGCCCCCTAAAAAAAGAAAAAAAATTAAACTGCAAAGCCATGTTTGAGTAACTGGTCAACTGGCCATTGGTCACACATGAGAAATCACCCATGGGGGCTGTGCTGTAGGCCTGGTGCCATCACCCAAGGGAGGTCCAGCCCCACCACCCCTGGGTGCTTGGACACCATGTCCACATATCCCCCCCACAGCACAACCATGGGGGGGCTGGGCTCACTCCCACCGGTATATTCACCTCTCCTGGCCATCCCTCAGCATTGTTGTTCTTCCAGGATCTCGGAGCACTGAAGATCCCGGAGCAGTACAGGATGATCATCTGGAGAGGTTTGCAGGAGCTCAAACAGAGCCACGACTACGGGGCCCAGCAGCTCATCCGCTCCAGCAGCAACGCCTCCACCATCTCCATCGGCAGCTCGGGCGAGCTGCAGCGGCAGCGCGTGATGGAGGCCGTGCACTTCCGCGTGCGCCACACCATCACCATCCCCAACCGCGGCGGGGCCGACGACTGGGCAGACTTTGGGTTCGACCTCCCGGACTGCAAATCTCGCAAACAGTCCATAAAGGAAGAATTCACAGAGGGAGAGATCAACTGAGAGGCTCCGAAAGGCAGCAGCAAGAGACTGGGGAGGGACACACACATGGAACCCCCCGTGAAAAGTATTTTCAGCCTTGGGCATCTGGAAAACTGTGATTTTGTTGCCTGGAGAGGAACTGGAACCTGCCCTGAGCCACACAGGAGGTGCCTGCCCTGGAGAGGAAACCGCGGTGGCTTTGGCAGAGCCGAGGGGAGGAGGAGGGCAGCTGAGCCAGCTCAGCGAAGGGAGCGTGGGCTGGACTGTGCCCGCGCCTGCTGCTGCTTTACACCATCCGTGTGTGACCAGGGGATCCCCGCTGCCGACGGACGCGGTGACAAGGTGACACGTTTTTCTCTTGGCGAGAGCAGCCCTTGTCACTGCTCCCCTCCCCTGTCCTGTCCTCTCCGCGGTGTCCAAGCCCCACGGGTCGCTCTCGCTGTAAAAAGGACTCGGCCCTTCCCCGTTCCATTTTCTGTACAGACCCCGGCCCGGGACCGATGCAAAGCAACACAATCCCCTTTCTGACGGACTGCCAAGAAGTCCCCATTTCCTTCAGTTCTTCGTAGAGCAGAAAAGAACCCGTTTGTCAGTTCCCAATGTGTTCATGTACTTAAGTATTTGTGTATATAAACAGAAGCCAATGTACATACAATATACTCGTTGTGCTGTAAGGAGAAAAAAGATTTATTTTCATGTAAGCTATAAAAATTACTCCTGAGACATGATAGTGTCAAGTAAATTAATTTCATGTTCTAGCATGTAAACACGCAGAAAGTCACGTCTCCAGCCTTATCTATTCAAAATTCCTTTTTTTTTTTCCCTCCTCTGAATCTCTTTCACACAATTGCAGAGGAGGGGACGAGCCTGTGAATCCCCTGGGAAGTCAGAGGTCTGGATAATCCTTCCTGCCTGCTCCATCGGGGGAGTTTTGCAGACAGGTTAGACCTGGCAAGCAGGAACATGCAAGGTGTAAATTTGATTCTCCTTTGGAGCAAGGAGAGGGACTAGGTGACCATGTGAGGTCTTTCCAGTTTTGTTTTCTGTTTCTGGTTATTTTTTCCAGGTGTAATTTGTTGATTCAGGCTGGAAAAAAAAACCTCGTCAGAAAGCGAGGACACAAGCAGGCGTGTTCCTTCCCTCGCTCCCCAAAGAGGGACTGTACCTTTGGAAAGGTGACATCCCACAAGTCTCTGAAAAGCACGTCACAGGGGCTGCTGCTGTACAGAGAGAGGGAGGGAAGGTGGGCAGGGAGATGCTTCATCTGCTCCCTCAACCTCAGGTCGCTTGAGATTTGGGGCAGCCTGAGGGCATCCACGCAGAAACGACACTGCCCAGCACCTTCCCACTCCTGCATCTCCTCCCCATGTTGTCTTGGTGATGGAGACCTCCCACTACCTCCCATCTCCCTCAGGCTGGGGAAAGAGCTAGAAGATTCCTCACAAAGCCCTAAGAAGTGGAGTAAAATAAGAGCTCAAGTCCCACCTACGATGTCCCAGACTCCCCTCAGAGACGCACCTTCTCCTCCTTGCAGATGGTGTCTGTCCCCACTCGGAGGGAAGATCATGGGGACAACCAGGGTGAACCCCGCACGTGCTGTGACAGCAGCCCTGGAGCTCACATCCTCCCTCCTCTGCCTTCATCTTGGTCTCCAACAGCGGCTCTGAGCCTCCGGGGCACAGGAGGTGTCCTCCTGTCCCTCCAGCGATGGGCTGGGCTCTGCAGAGCCAGGTGCCAGCACACTGTCCCCCAGGCTGTCACACCCCCCTCCACTGCACCAGCTCGGACTCCTTTGGCGCTGCTGAAATGTGAACCTATGTCCTAAGATAACGACTCATTAAAGCACTTCAATGCTTTAAAGGCTTTGAAACAATCAGTCACTCGTGTTTTCAATGTTAACTGAGGCTTCTTCCAGCAGTATTAACTGACACACTCCAGCCACGGTGTGATGGGATTTTTTGTAATGTTATCTTTGGAAAATGTGTTATTTTTATAGCTGTGTTTCCCTCCCCCCCCTTTTTTTTTGTAACACAATAAAAACATGTGGGAATTACAACATCTGGCAACTAAAGTCCTGCTTATATTGTACAGAAAGTGTCCTCCTTATACCAGCATAAGCCTTAAAGTGTAAGACCTCGAAGGGCCTGAAGCTGCTTTGCTTCATCCAGCAACTATCAAGGTACAAAGAGACACAGCTCCACGCAGGAGCAGCTGCCAAAGCACAGGGGACATTAAAAGGCCCTTTGCTCCTCACAGAGACCAGGACAACCGGCCTGAGGGAGAGGAGAGCTTCTCTCCACAACCAGGGTCACTGTTTAGGGGGTGTGTGAGCACTTGGCCCCCCATGCACAGCACTTACCCCACCCCGAGAGCTCTCAGCGCTGCTTTCCCTCGCCAGTGCTCCACTGGCTGAAAGACACGTCCCACGGATGTCACATCCCCACAGAGCCAGCCTGGAACTCCCACCAAAGCAAAGAGACACCCGCTCGCTATTAACAAATTGCTGTAACAATTGCTATACACTTTCAGAGAAGCAAATATCTACTTCTTTATAGATAAAACTTTTTCCCCTCCCAATAAATGTCTAGAAAATAGAGAATGAAATGGACAGCAGCCTTTAGCGTTAAGACACAGCTTTTCTGAGTTTGAAAAATCACACCGTTAAAAACAATTTCCACGAGAGAATTGTCTTTAGTTATAAATGTCACTGCTACTTCTAGTTTCAGAGAGATATATTGCACATGTAGGAACAGGAAATTGATTGAGCTAAAGAACTTGCAAGAAGTGTTGTCTATAAACTAACACTCAAGGCAAGGACGTTATTTTAATAAAAAAAAAGCTTGCAAAAGATCTTGAAAAGTGGCGTGTGAGAAACAGACAAGAATAGTCAAATCTGTACATCTGCAATAAGCTCAACACATGAATAAAAAGTACAAAGAACCTGGTTTAAAAGCAGACTTGCCTGTTGGTGAAGGCACTACCTTGTTCTGTGGTGTATATTCCAAATCTGCTGGACTGTAAAAAAAAATACCTTAAAAATACACAATCAGGTGCCCTTCCTACACTCAAAGAACGTGATTATTAGTTCAATTTTGCTACTAAAACGTTAATGTAGAGCATTTCCATTTCAGCAAGGAGAACAACAGCCTCCAGGCAGCCACCTCGCTGCTGCTGTGAGTAATCCAGACAACACCCGGCCCGGGTGCTGAGTAACCCACCCAGCAGCTCCGTGTCTCCGCAGCAGCTGCTGCACAGGGTCCCTGTACAACTCCACAGATCACATTCCCAAAAACCCCTGAATAACGTGGTGTTTGGTACCGAAATGCCTGAAATGCCCCAGCATGTTGCTCCTCTAAGGAACAGCCTTAATTTACAGCCTTCCTACAAAGTCTCTCAGCTCTAACATCAGGATGGTCAGAGGTCCCCCCCCGCTCTTTCGTTTCTTTTCCCCACCCCTCAAGAAAGTCAGATCATAGTTTATTTTAAAAAATATTTAGAAAACCCCATAAAAACAGCAAACAAAACAATAAATATGAGGCCCAGAGGCAAGTTCAGCACAGGAGTCAAGTTCCTGCATACACTGAAGGGAAATGAGCATGGACCAGATGGATGCTCCGTATTTTTTTGGAGCATTATGTCATCTTGCTTGTGAAACTGCCAGGAAAGCACTTGCACCATTCCCATCATGGCTGGTGGTGATCTACACCACCTTAGCATGGTCCAAGGAACATTGGTGTTCTCCCAGGAAAACGGTGCTCCACGGGCAGCAAAGCTCTCCAGGAGGAAAAGTCACCTGGATGAAACCACCCAGAACTTCTCGACGGCTGTGGGTGATGCACCAAGAAACCTCCACAGCCTCAGCGCTGGGTGTTCCCAGTGGAAACGTCAAAACCACAAGTCTTATTTTCAGGTCAGAGTGGAGACATCACGAGGTGGAAAGACCTCACTGTGGCACAGCCTGACCGTTATCCATCAGCTCAGAGAACAGCAGCCTGTATCACATTATCTCAGTCTTGATCACGGACGAGTCTATTGCTTCGTTGCGCAAGTCGACAGCGGATCCATTTCTCCAGGACTGCTCAGCAGCTGCAGCGACCTGAATCGTCCAGAGAAACTGCTCTTTGGTGATCACGGGGGGTTCCTTGCCTGCAGGGACAGGAACAAAGCGCTGGATGAAACTCCTGTTACCACCTGCTCTGCCTTTCAGCACATTGCTGCCCACCACAGCGTTCCTCTTCAGCTCCCAGCGCTGGGGCCTCAGATTTTAAAAAGAAAGTTTCAGCCCCCTCTCCTTCCTGTCCTCTGACTAAAACCCTGTGTTTTTCTCGATGCAGCCAGCAGAACAGAAATGTTTTTATTCCTTCTGGGCAGCCAGGACTCTAGATGAGGCTCTCCTTGCCGTGACAAATGGCTGCTTTCTTCACAAATGAAAGTAAGGTCCAACGTAATTTCCTCTCCCGATTTTAATCTCTTCTCAGAACACAGTTTCAGATCAACACTCCATCCCTCACCCGTCTCATTGACTTGAAAGTGAGAAAAGAAGCACATCCCCCAACAAAGCTGTGACATTCACCTTCATTTACTGAAACAAGGTCAGTTGGTTGGGCTTTCACTGAGCTGTCGGCTCCTTTGGAGGCTGATTGCTCCGGGCGTGTTTTTACCGAGCTGCGCGCACTGTCGTGCTCAACACACATCTGGTGCTGAGAACCCCGGTGCTGAGAACCCCGGTGCTGGTCAGGGCAGCAGCTCAGCCCATGAAACCCCATGTTTGCTTACAGGGAGCTCGCTCATCACCTGCACAACACTTGCTTAAACTTAACCACCACAAGTCTCACTGCTAGTTTTCACACCTACTCGTTTCCTTCTGGGATTTCAGACACAAACACCAGATTGCAGTTGCTATTGAACAGCTTCCATGGGCAGTGTTTGCTGAAGGCAGATCCAGAGCAGCACCAGCCATTAACACAAACCTCCTCCTACCTTTCAGGGTTCTCAGAAAGTGCCGGAAGAGCTCCCTGTGTGCATCTCTGTAGCGATCAGTTTGGGTCTGTGAACATATGGATACCGAAGTCCCGTGCTCCGTAATCCCCAGGGGATTCTGATTATCTACCCGCAACGTTCCTTGAGAACCATGAACCTGCAGGGAGGCAGCAAACAGCAGACAATAACATCTTTAAGTTAGCATGCTTTCTTAAGCATCTTAAACACCTGGTTAGTCTATAGAAGCCCTGGTTTGTATAACCAAACAAAAAAGTAGCTTCTAAAATGAGGAGTTACAACAGACATACTCCCTTGGATGGATCAGACACGACAGAAAACACCAGGTACGTGCTGTAATACAGTGGCTTCCACTTATGTGATCCCTCTGCTATTTTTTTTCCACCTGAGCAAAGCTCCTTCTTTAAGTATTTAACAGATATTATTCCCCAAACTCAGCCCATGCATCTTGACTTTAGGAATTTACAGACAAATTGCCTCTGAGTTTACACTTTTCTTCCCCTTTAATACCCTTAACTCTCAGCTTGTTATACACCTAAAAAGATCCTGAAAGACAACAAATGAACTGCGAGAATACTTCAGCCTCAGGAGAGCTGACACCACATAGAATCATAGACTGGTTTGGATTGGAAGGGACCTTAAAGCTCATCCAGTCCCACCCCCCCTGCCATCAGCAGGGACACCTTCCACTAGACCAGGTTGCTCAAAGCCTCATCCAGTCTGGCCTTCAACACTTCCAGGGAGGGGGCATCTACAACTTCCTTGGGCAACCTGTTCCAGTGTCTCACCACCCTCACAGTGAAGAACTTCTTCCTAATATCTCATCTAAACCTCCCCTCTTTCAGTTTAAACCCATTTCCCCTTGTTTTGTCATTAACTGCCCTTATGAAAAGTCCTTCCCCAGCTTTCTTGTAGCCCCTGCAGGTACTGGGAGGCCGCTAGAAGGTCTCCCCGGAGCCTTCTCTTCTCCAGGCTGAACAGCCCCAACTCTTTCACATCTAGTATGACTGCATGCGGTTTATAACCCCAATAGAATACATGTAAACAGAGGTAAAATTTGGGTAACAAAAGAGAAAGTGGATTGTGGATGAAAGGAACACAAGTGATCCACTGCTGCCGAGGTGCAGGGGCGTTTGGGGAAGCGTGCCTGCAGCACACACACTGCCCCAGGGGAACACGGACAGGGGAAAACTTGTGCTGTAGCCTGCGGTGTCACGACAGGCTCGGCTTGAAAAGGAAGAACGCACCTCTAGTCTCTGATCACAGCTTTTAGTGCAGTGCTGACTGACGTCCAAAGTAACAATTGCTCCGCTAGGGAATTTCATGCTGACCGCTACAGTGTCTGCATCCTTCAAGCAGGCCATATCTGAGTGACAGAAAAGGCACTCACTCACTCACAGCAGGAACCGGCACGTGCTACGGCTACAGAGCACTCTTCTTCCCTTTAAGAGGTGACACTGGCCCTACCACACCTTCACACGGGCAGCAGCGGCGGCAGCAAAGTGCTTTCTGCAACACACACCAGCTGGTTTACCTTTATCCCCACTTCTGAGGGAGAACAAGCAGCTCTGCAGGAACACACAGCCCCTGGGCCTGAACTCCACCTTCCCAGCCCGTGGCTCTCCCTAAAGAGGACTTCCACTTCTTCTTCCAAACACATTTACCTTTGCAGCTTATTACAACCAAGATCAGGCAACTTCCAGCATGTAGCTAGAAAGAGGCAGATGGTACAAAATCCTCCCCGGGGCATTTTGTTTGTTGCATTTCAATGCTTTACCATGGATTAGAACATTGCACGCTACACCTTCTAACAACAGCCAGTCAAGGTTGGCAGCAGCTGCAATTACCTTAATTAAAACTTTGCATTTCCATTTTTTTAAAAAAAATGGCAGCTTCCAGTTTTATGGTTAGTTTAAATGAGTCTGGTAACCCAGAGCGTGCCCGTCAGCTTGACACAATCCAGAGTAAATTTGCATCTTTCAACTGTGCTGAGATCAAGGAAAGCACCAGAGAAATCAGAGAAAGCAAAAAACTGCAGAAGACTGCGCTGATGTTCTTGTAAGCACAAAGCTTTGCTGGTTGTTTTCTGCACTCTGGTTTTCAAACAGCAAACTCGATATCCCTCAATAGCTGTACAGAGTTCAGTGATGCCTCTACAGCAACCACTTCACATCAGGGGGAATTAACAAAATTCAGAAATCACCACTAAATATCCTGTCTACAGCAGCTTCTTGAGAAACCTGCCTTTATTTCAGTACACTATTTTTTCAGCTGTTTATGAAGGAACAATTATGTCATGGCTACCGTGCTCTCGTACAAAAAAATCAATTTTAACACTGATGTCCAGAGGTACACAACAAACTACCCAAAGATTTATTCTTACCTGAACAGAAGGCATGCCCCAGGGAAAATATTGTATCTGGCGCACTCTCTCCCAACAACAAACTGACAATATCTATATCATGCACGGCAGCATTATAAAAAATTCCACCTGGAAGAAGCAAAACTGGGCATTAAGGTCTCCACATTTAAAATCCACAGTCAATGTACATTTCTGCACTGCACTGAGACCTGATATAGAAAGCCCCCGACATCAAAGAAACTGATACTGACAGCAAACAGAAAAATGCAACAAATATAAAGAAAAAGCTCCTCCAAAGCTCCTCCCCCTCTACTCTGCCCTGGTGAGGCCACACCTGGAATACTGTGTCCAGTTCTGGGCCCCACAGTTCAAGAAGGACAGGGAACTGCTGGAGAGAGTCCAGCACAGAGCCACCAAGATGAGAAGGGAGTGGAGCATCTCCCTGCTGAGGAAAGGCTGAGGGAGCTGGGGCTCTTTAGCTTGGAGAACACGAGACTGAGGGGAGACCTCATTAATGTTTATAAATATGTTAAGGGTGAGTGTCAGGAGGATGGAGCCAGGCTCTTCTCAGTGATGCCCAATGGTAGGACAAGGGGCAATGGGTGTGAGCTGGAACACAGGAGGTTCTGCTTCAACTTGAGAAGAAACTTCTTTACAGTGAGGGTGACAGAGCCCTGGGACAGGCTGCCCAGGGAGGTTGTGGAGTCTCCTTCTCTGGAGACATTCAAGACCCGCCTGGACGCCTTCCTGTGTGATCTCATTGAGGTTCCTGCTCTGGCAGGGGGTTGGACTGGATGATCTTTTGAGGTCCCTTCCAATCCCCAACATCCTGTGATTCCGTGAAAGAAAACCCATGCACCTTAAGGCCACACAAACACAGCTCTGGACTTTCCAGCAGAACACGGGGAAAGAGACATTTCCAGTCCTTTGAGAAGGAACTTTTCAGAAGGCAGCTGCTCTGTACCTGATGTTTTGAGGAAGCTCAGAGACGCTGCAGGATAGATGCTGCTGATGGCCGATATCCGGTGGATCCTCCCCAGCGCCCGGCTGTCGCGGACTTTCTTGTACAGGAATTGCAGCGCTGGGTCAAAGCGCCTTCAAAGAGAAACAAGGAATGTGGTACATCCTAAACATCCTAAAACCACAGACCAAGAAACTGTCTCCGAGGATGGCACAGCACCATCAGAATATTTCCTTCTCTGAAGCTCCAAGTAGCTGCAGTGTTTGACAAACCTCGAAAGCACTGCGGAGACGCAGCCCCTGACTGCTTTTGGTCATTCTAAAAAAAATTAAATTGAGCTTTCACATCTTGAAAGCTTCATCATTTGAGTTCCACTAGCAGCCATTCGAGTGAACATCTGTTTTAATCTCATGACAGCTAGATTTTTATCTCCATTAAGCATAAAGAATTAATCCAATCCAACTGCCTCCCAGACCAATAACATTAACAAGCAGCAGTGAAACTAAGTTTACCTGAGAACAAATTCAGGAAACCCTGGGGAATCAATGCTACTTTCAGACACGTGTTTCTTATAAAGTATAAATCAGAAGTAAAATAAAATATAAATCAGAAGTCTTACTTGTAGAATCCACACACCAGTGGCCTTCCACACCTCTCAGCTTCATCGAAACAAGCTTCTGCCATCTGCCTGTCCAAACTGGGCAGCCTCTCACAAAACACACCTTTTCCTGTGCAAAATGGCACAGAACACAGGGTTAAAGGCAGGACAAGCTAAACAACAGCACATTACATACTAGAAAACAGGGTTCATGAAACTGAAGCGTGGCTTTTTATTTGTTGGTGCTATTAACTCTGTTTTGGCCTCCAGCTGTGGCTTTACCAGCTGGTTCCGGACCCCAAGGAGCCTGACTGTTCTGACAGACTGTTTTCCTCTGAGTCCTCGTGGTATTTCTAGGGCTAGACACTCTGCGTAGCCACACTGGGACCAGCAAACTCCATTGGTGTTAGGGCATTAACATCAGGGGCATTAGTGGACTAATTTCTCTCTAATTATGCAATTAGATTGTCTGCACAACTCAAGGGACGCTGCTGAAATGGGAAAGCACCCACATGTGAAGCGCTTAGCAAGCGTACAAGGTCTGCTTCAACGTGTGCTCCTGACTACAGACAAGAGCTGCATTTGCAGCCATTCCTCTTACCCGCTCGTAAAGCCTCTATTACGATCTCAGAGGCTTCTTCAGGTGGTGAACAAATAATGGCTCCAGAGACTCTGCAGAAGTCAAAAAAAAAGATCTTCAATGAAGACAAAGTTTGACCAGAATGTACAATGCTCAAAATCTCCTTTCAGTTACAGTTATTTTTATGACAGCTGCCTTAAACTTTGAGGAGCAGTTAAAAAAAAGGACATAAAACCCCACTGCTCTGGAAGAGCAAGTTCTGTTATAAAAGAAACTCGGTACCTGCTTGCAAGGATGAAATATGGGATGACCTATATCGATTAAAATTGTAAGTGGCACAAGGGAACTGCTTTACTTTTCTGCATCTGAAAGGAGAAAGCCATTTAAAGGTGTTCTCTGAAAACGAGTTAAATCCTGCTAGTTAACACACACAGTGAAACTGGAAGTATTCATGTGGCAGAGCTGCTGAACGAGGGATGGGCATAGCTCAGCTTCTTACCACCCTTTAGTTTTCAATACCCAATCCATCTTCCTTAAAAGCTCTGCCTTTCATTTTTGCAATATTTTAAATGCCAATCTGAGAACTGACTGTACCCACATCACTAGAATTGACTTGTTTGGTTCAAGTGTAAAGCAAACCACCACAATCTTTCCTATTCACAGCAATCCTTGCTTATCTCAAACAGTTTCCAACGGGGCACCAAAATCAGACAGCTGCTCTGAGGCAGAAAAACTGGTCTGGAGCAGGAAAACATGTTGTTTATTGCTCTATGAGGATGATGGAAGATGAGGACTTTTTATACTTCTTAATGAAACTGCCTGCAATGAAACTCCTCTGAGTTTCTATCAGCTCTGGGCACGTGAGTCAAGTTAAGCTTCTCAGGGCCTCTGAAGCATCTGTGTGTAGATGACACACGACATAAGGCTCATAACGGCCCCTTGGTTTCGCTCTGTTCCCACACACGAGGCTGGACAAGCAAGGTCTGGGTCTGCTGTGGTGCAGCAGCATCTTCCAGAGGAGACGCTGGCCCCAAGCCTCGCGGCAGGGAAGGAGCACGCCCAGGAGTTATCGGCGGACGGTACCGCTGGTCGTTGAGCGCGACATCGGCGTCCCGCTGCCGCAGCACCCTGGTGCCAGCCAGGAACTCGGCGTCGAAGGCGCGTTCCACCTCCTCTAGCTGATCCTCCACCACGTACAGCAAGCAGCAGCCAGTTTCCTCCATCAGGCTTTGAAACAAGGTGCTGGTAATGAGCCCCAGGCCGAAGAGGGCGAGGCCAACACCGTGCCGTCCGGTAGGCACCGGGCTGTCCCTCTAGCTGATCCTCCACCACGTACAGCAAGCAGCAGCCAGTTTCCTCCATCAGGCTTTGAAACAAGGTGCTGGTAATGAGCCCCAGGCCGAAGAGGGCGAGGCCAACACCGTGCCGTCCGGTAGGCACCGGGCTGTC